CTTGTCAAAAAGATGACTGTCATTATCCCAGTTGTATAAAAAGAGCCAGAGACAGAAAGGACTTGCACAGATGCATATCCCCAGTTCATACCAAATCCAGGAGTATAATTTGGGGTTCTTCACTCACTGTATCCTGTGCTGTCTTTGCTACACGTGATCAAGATTCTGACGTGTACGTAGAAACTTGATCATATTAAATGTGTTTCTTGTTTAGAGATGTTAACCCTTCTTGTACCACCTACTGCTCTAAATCTGTAGGATCATATAGCAACAGAAATCCTAGACAGTTTTTGTAGTGCTGTGAACACTGTAGCCTCTGATTGTGCATGTACCTGGGAGTTTGAATGCAAAGTTTGTAATCCTGGCTAAATCTTAGGCACAAGATTCCTTATTTGGGGCTACGCTAGTTCTGGGTTGTTATGGTATGGGAGAAGAATGTAAGAGGAATGAAGAGGTCAATCAGTGCCCTGTGTGACAATGAAATTAAATTAATGCAAACGGTCTTGGCTGCAAAACCAGGTTTAGGACAAAAAAACAGTTTCTTAAGCTGCTCTTTACACCACTAGAACTACAACATCTTGCAATCTAATGCCTTATCAGGCCTTTTGGGAAGGACTTCGTTTCTGTAAGTTTTCAGAACTGGCAGTTTTTACTTCAGCTTTTATTAATCTTTCGGTCTTTATAGTTTGCTGGAGTAGTTGAAGTGAGATCCAGTTCTGATCTGAAAGACCAATGGAGTAAATGTTGCAGCCAGACTTGCACATGCTGATTTTTAATGTGACTTTGTTTTGTCTGGCATAATTAAAATGTTGCAGACAGTTTAGAGCTGCTTGGAAGGTCACATTTTGGTGATCAAAGGGAAAAACACGCAAGTACAGTAATGATGCAGTTACTGCCCCCTGTGGGGGCATCAGCAGTTTGGATACCCTTGGTGGATTTCACTGGCAGTTTTTTTTGTTGCATTCATAAGTACAGAATTATGTTTTTAAAAGATGAGTTGATGTGCAAATATTTTCATGGCATTGCTATGAACGGGAGGGACCCTTGTGTATTTTACAGTGTGCAATAAGTATTCGCTGAATGAGTAGTGTATTGGTACGTTTCTCTTCCAGCTGAATTGAGTTTTAAATCACAATCGAATGAATTTTTACATCAGTTGATAGGAATATTTTATTGAAGTAATATTCAGCTGTGGTTGAATTTACAGTTGTGATTTTAAATGTACACTTTAAAGGAGCTTCTGTTTTTATAAATAAAACTGAAAAATATGCTGCAAAGAACTGTTTCAAATGTGTGTTTACTTTTGTTGTTGGTAATTCGTAGAAAATAGACTTTTTAAGAGAGTATTACTTACATTTTTCTGATTGTACGTGGGTGTTGAGGTTGTGGGTACAGTGAAAATGGACATGTAGTGGCCATTCATCCTGTTTTGTGGGGGAGTTTGTGGGGTTTGGGGTTTTTTTTATCTCCCTCTACCTTGCCTACTTCAAGACATGTTATTTCCTTTCTAATTGCATCCCACAAAGAAGGGCAAGTATCTTTGGAATGTAAAGGGTTATATTTGGATGTGTAAGCTGTTGGGGTTTGGTATGCAGGATTTAAAGATGCTGTCTATGCTGATTTAGTTAGAAAAGGTAAATAATAAACACTGTGGGAGCACGTTGGGCCCACCATGTTAAAATATGTGTTCTAGAGGAAGTACAGGGAAACAATTAATAGGTTTAATTCACAAGCATGTCTTATAGAGCAATAAAGTTCTTAAATAATGGCAGAGAAACAATTTGCTCATCTTTTTCTTCTTTAAGGGACTTTAGAGAGAAGTGTGGTCGACAGCGCTTAAAGAAGCCTTGCAGGTGAAAGGCAAAGTCACAGGGAGTTACAAGGTACAAAACAAAGATGTAGCATCTTATTAAAATTGGCAAAGAAAGAAGTAATCTTAGATAAGTATGTAACTCAAGGTGCTTCCTGCAAGGTAAGTGTTGCAGTTCCTTGAAATACAGGCATGTCAAAGGTAACATTGGATATATTTTTGCTGATGGTTTACTAATTTTTAAGAGGGTGACTTGGCCATTCTAAACATACTTACAAATGTGAGCCAAATTATCTAGGTATTTTTGGTCCAAAAATTATGAGAAGTTAATAGGCTGGTGAAATGAAAAAGTTCCAGGTGCTGCTCTGTTTTTATTCAGAGATCTAGGCAGTGGCAGTCCAGCTACACTACTGGTTTGTCAATAGCAGTCATCCTCCTGCCAGCTTAAGTTATTGCTCGCAGTTTAAAACCTGTAGCTTTCACCTCTGCGTGGATGTCAGAGGTGCAAGCTGAATTGTGTACTTTGGTATTTTGGGGAGATGGTGAGAGATAAGTATTGGACCTGTGATGCTTACTCACCCAGATCTCCAAAGTAAAGGGATCGTAGCTTTTCTGTAGTGGGTTTGCTCCACGGTTGTATCAGCTTTCAGGGTGTGTATCACACACTGCTCCTGTGCAGCTTGAACAGGTACCTGCCTGCTCAGATCCTGTTTGATGCTCTAGTTTGCTGCCTGAAACCATTACAGGCGGGCTCAGGCTGGTGTAGACAGGAATCTTGCAACTCATTTCCCCAGCTACAGTTACACCTTTCTGCCTGCCCTGAGAGCTCTGCCCTGACGTGTAGAAGGGTGATCAGCTTGGCCTCCAGAGCACTTCCTAGAGTCTCTTTAGTTTTCTGTGACAGCTCCAGCCTTCTTGTCTCTGGCCTGCAGAAGAGAGGAAAAGCTCAAAGCTGAAATCTCTAGGTTATAGCAGGATGGGGGGGAGAAGCAGAGTTTGCCCTTTTCTGTTGCCAGCTGGCTGGGCTCTACACTCTTGGGCCCTGCAACTGAATTTATCTGGCACCTGCCATTAATGTTTCTTTCAGGAAGGAGGCAGCTGAGTGTGCAACAGGGTCTCAAATGGTCGTCCTTCTGAGACTACCAGTCTGTCCAAAGGTGCAAAGGACATGGAAGTTTCAGGGTCATTCTGCTAGACTAGAATTAGCCAAATTCCTCCCCAGCCCCCACTGCTGTGCTCTCGCCTAGCTTGAACACCTTAAATTGTTTGAGTATTGCGTCTTTAGGTGCCATAACTGCTAGCAAGTATTTTTGTGGTATTGAAAGCTGAAACAGTTTAAGGGTTTATAGCCCAATTACCTTGTCTTGACTTGCCACCTGACAGCTCTCTTCATTCCTTTATTCTTGTATGTAGATGGCTAGTGAACTTTCTAATACTTGTAATATTTATTATTATTATTATTATTATTCATTGTGGTTTTATTTATTTTGCTTTACGTCTGCAATTTTTGAAGTAGAATTGAATGAATTTTCCCCCCATCCAGTCTTTGTAGGCTCTACACCTTTCCCTGTCCATGAAATAAATCTCTTGTAGATGGTTATTCATTTAGATAAACTTTAAGTCTTTTCTTACAAGCTTACAAGTCTTTTCTTACAAGACTGATGAGGTGGCAGGAAAGGAATAATTTCCAGACAGGCACTGACTTGCTCCATGTGTAAGAAAGGGGTGAATGTTCAGAAGATTTCAAATAGCTGCATAGTGCATCCTGCTGCTCTGCATTTGTAAGGACATTTTTCTTTGCTATAGCTGGCCTCATCTGTCTTACAATTTATATGAAGTGAAAAAGCTGTATCGAGCGTGTAGGCTTTGTTTAAACAGCACAGTTAGAGATTTATGATGCGTATTATTGAGATCAGCATAGCATGTATATCACTATTAGGTGAAGTTTACTTAAAGCTTTCTATGAGCCTTGATTAGCTCAAAGTTTATGTGAAGTATGTACTGAACAAGGTAGTGCTTCACAGCTCAGACTGTTTGTACGTATTATAAAGACTGCCATCCCCCAGAGACAATTCCAGACTCTCTAGTTCTATTCAGATACTATCAGGAAGTACCTGGGATTGAGAAAGTATGCTGGTACTCTACGTACAGAGGAGTCAGACTAGAACCCTTTTGCAGCTGCTCTTTTGTCTTCTCCCTCATTTACTTTAGATGCCAAGATACAATAACATTATAAAGTCCATGTGGTGGCTCAGGGGAACAGATCTCACTGCCATTGAGTGCCCAAGCAGTAGGTGGCTTGCCATACTAACACTTGTGATCTGTGTCCATGTGTCATCGTCCCGCATCTGTGTGTGCAGCCACATAAGCGCAGGTCACAGGCACTGAATCTTTTAAGCCACGTCGTCCCTGTCTGCCTCCACTGACTTGTCCACTATGCGGCTGTAAAGCCTTGACAGTGACTACCATAATGTTTACCTTCCATGCCGTGCTTGATGATAATCAGACACAATTCTTAAAGCCCATGCTGTGTACAGGCAACCCTGTTGTCATGGGCAGCCAGGGACTAGGTGAGGTGCTGCAAAGAAATAGATTTGTGGCTCTTTCATTATGGGTAACCCAGAAAAACAGTTATCTCTCTCTCTGGTGGTGGTGGGAGCAGACGCTTGATCCTGACACACGCTTACTGTTTTTGTGGTGCCTTGTGAATGGCAAGAGGGAACTGGGCACTGTTAAGCTGCCATCCCTCACCAGCTCAGCATCATCAGCGAATGCAGTAATGACCCTTTCTTCTTGGCACCCCAATCTACATCAAGTGAACAAGTGGCAAAGGAGACAGCCCTCTTGCCTCTGGACTTAGGTGCAGTTGAGGCATTACTCTTCTGGGAGGTTTCACAGGACCCCATGGGAATTGTTCTTCCCCTACCTGAGTTCTCTTCATGTTGCATATTTATCTCTTTGTCCCATTACTTTCTTCCTGTTGTGCTCAATTCTAAGAAAATACTACACTGTTCACAGTAAAATTGCAAAACATCAAGAATTTATTAGTTTCCAAGTAGCGCAGAGTCTAAAGTTAGGAGCTGTCTTCATATTTCTTTGTTCTCATTTTAAATCAAGCCAATCTATATACATGTTTTTAGACATCTGTATAAATTATGCAGCCAAAGTCAGGGAGAGTTTCTTCTCCTGTTTACACGCAATATTTCCAGAAGCACTCGGAAAGGTTCCCACGTTTCTTGTACTGTTTCCTATCCTTGGTCAAGAAGCGGCCCAGCAAAGCAATTCGAGGATGATTTCCATAGAAAGTCTAAAGTAAAACAGCATTAGAGAGGTTACTGTTGGATGGTAAAAGTTCCCAGCAGGAAAGTGTGCTCTTCACTGCCCTAAGTGATTGCCCAGCCCTGTGTTCTGACTGGGGGAAGGAGAGGTGGTTGCCCAGTGTGCCCCCTGATTTAGATGATGCACTAAAACTAGTCCCTGTCTTCTGCCTTCATATTTAATTCAGCAGACAAGTGAACAGGAATGATGTTTTCTATTTACCTAATGGTTCATAACAAATCTGATAATACTGCATAGCCTATGATGTAGTGGAGGAAAAAGATGACATGCAGTTAATACTGGTTAATGTGCTGGCCTGGTCTGGTGAAGCTGTAAATTGAAATTAGAAAGCTGCTTTTCTTGGTAAAAAGGTGGAAGGAGGTTTAGAATTAAATGCTCTGGATTATTTGCTTTTTTTTTTGCTTTTTTTTTTTTCTCCCCTGCTTATCTAACTGCTAAGTGATTCTAGCTTCAAGAACACTGTGACATACTTTAGTCTATACTGTTTATGAAGTCTGTTTATCTTAAATGATGTCTCGGTAACAATTCAGTGTAGTTTAAAATGTGGAGTCTTATTTTTCTTGTTTCAGTGACAGATGGTCATGTACTTACCTCTTTGGTGTTTTCCCTTGGGTTGTAGCTGCTGGGGCTAAGACCTGGTAGAGGGGAAACATGATAAAATGTTTTAGCATTTAGAAATGGTTAACTTACACAAGTCATTTTTGTGTGCTGCAGTCCTATAGCCAGCAGAAGTCTGGACTGGAATGTTCAGAGGATCAGAAAGAAAACCTCTTTGCTGCAGCACAGCCAGTTCTTGTGACACGTGCTTCCAGGGTCTCTGGGACTCTGAAGATGCAAGGCGTACTGTCCTCTTCAGCAGGCATCTGTTAGGTTTGTTGCCCCCCAAACCATTTGTTACTATTGATTCTGTGCTTTCTGCAAGTATTGATGTTTTTTAAGAGACTGTACTTTTTTTTTTTTTTTGTCTGCTAGCTCCTTCTAAGACGATCTTTGCCTTGTCCCGGGTTTGCTATATGGAGGTTTTACTAAACTGATTTGGAGACGTTTCCATCTAATAGTGAGCTGTGAGCATGGCTGCTCAGCAGGTTTCCCCAGTTAACTAAATGACAGCTGTTGGTTGCATACACATAATTTTTTATTTCAGTAAATACCCAGAAGTCTGGGTACAATATCTGTGGAAGCTGGACACGCAAACCTCATAAATTGCTGTGGTAAATCCTCACCTGCTTTGTTGTCTTCAGTCAGTGTGCCCAAGAGATCTGGCAGAAACTGAAGCAAGGAATTGCTTCCTAGGCTGCCCAACCGCTCCAGATTTAATCTTGAATCTTCATCAGCTGTATATGGAAGATGACAGAAACAAGCATATGATAAGTCTTTCGCTTTGAGTCCCTGTTTCAGTCTGTCTGGGATGATTTCTGATCAGCTCTGTTGGCCTCGCCTGTTGAAGATTATCATGAAATCGCCATCCATCCATCCATCCTCATTTAATGAATATAATGATACTTGGTTGGTTTTTTTTTTTTTTCCTTCCTTTGAGAAAAGACAGCTTCCTGATGTTAATCTCAGATTCTCATTTCTCTGGCAGATCTTTCTTTAAGAAAGTCTTTTGACCAACAACCGTCCCTCCTATTGCTTGGGAGGGACCTCATCCTTCTGGTACCCAGCAGCAGACAGCCTAGGCATGTATATATTTTTTTAATTTTTAATCCATAAAGACAATACTTCGTGTTCAAGGCCTATTAACCTGCTCAGTTTCCCAACTATTAAATGCAATAAAATGGGGGGGAAGGGCAGGAATAAATGTAGGAAACTTTAAAACATATTTTGGCAGCTATGCTTCTTAGTGCATTTCAATCATCTCTCTCATTTAATGTGTGTACCAGTACAGATATTATTACTTTTTCTGAAACAACAGATTGCTGATACCTGATGGAATTAATTTGTATGTGCATAGAGAATTTAGAATTCTGTAACTAGCCTATGTCCTAAGTTAAGTTGCCAGCAGGAGCCCTTAGCAGTGTTACACTTGAGGTAAATAAGGTTTTGTAATCTGACCAGTAAATTTCACCTTTGCTAATATATAGCAGACATTTAAAATTGTGGGCAATGAGAGGGAGATATTATCAAGCTCTAGTTGTGTAGATGAATATAATTTTGTAGTTGCACTTTTGGAGGATACTATGGCATTTTAGTTGCTATTACCTGCAGGGATGGAGGAGACCGTATGTATAGCTTCTCAATAGGGAATATATAAAAAAATAAACTGCACAAAATAATCCCCCAACATTTCAAAACCTGGACCAAGATCAAGAACTTGAAGACCTTGGACATCCGTGTTGTTTGTTCACTGTACAAAATGACATTTGCAAAGGACAGTGAGGATTTCAGCACAAGACTCTGAATAAGAATACTGTAGCTTCCCTGTGCTACATGGAGAAAATTCATACCTCTAGCCTTGTATTATTTTTTAATTCAGAGTAGAGTTGGCAGGTAAACTTGCTTTGAGATTTAAAAAAAAAAAAATAAAATAAACAACCCTCTTTAATACAGAGTTCTTCTATCTTACCCAGCCTAGAGACTCTTTGTATTGGCAAGGAAGATTTAATAAGCCTAATGGATGTCTTCAAACAAATGCATTAACTGTTAGAGCCAGCTTGTTCACCCTCTGATGTGATAGATGTTATTCATACTGAGTCATGGTTGCCTTTAAATGCAAGTTCCATAGTGGAAGGCTTGAGAAGGTGCTGGCTTAGTGAGTCCAAGATTTCCAAACCAAACTAGGGACCACTGATACCTATAAATCAGCACAACAGCTGTTGCACCTGCAAAGCAGGTAAGAACAGCCACACTTAATAGTCAGCTTTATGCAATAACTTTGGGGTTGATTTGCCTGTTATTGCAGAACTCATTTCAGAATCTCTTCCAGGACAGGTCAGGTCTGATGACAATAACCTTCCAGACTCTCTTGTGCATTTTTACTGAGCCCTTTCAGTCCTGACTTAAAGTATAATTTCAAACTTTGAGGACAGCTTTTTGAAGCCAAGAGGTATTCTTTCACTGGACTGAATGTAATCTGCATTAGTGCAAACAAATAGCATGCTCAATACATTGCTATTTTTGTAGTATAAGACAGACTTGAGTATTCTTGATCTAAGTAGGACGGCATTATTCTTTGCAGTAGGTTTCTCCCTTTTTAAATACAGCATCAGTGAAACATAGCTCATTTTAAAGTGTAGCAAGAGGAGAGACCATACAGCCAAGTTTCTTTAAATTACCCAATACCTACTAATACTGATTCAAAGACAGATGCTGTATATGCCAGCTCAGACTCAGTGCCAGAAGGCTCAGCTAGCCTGGATCCTGGATCTCAAAGCATGAGGAAGAAATATTCAGGGCACCCAACCTCCCCATTTTACAAGACTAGCACCCACTGATGATGTCACTTGCACTGGTGGTATTCTGATTCCTGCTTTTTCTACAGCTGATCAGCACAGAAGAAGGCCCCTTGGAAAGCATACCTGCTTCTCTTCTGATTTTACCGCTCCAGCCCCTGCTTTATGACCATTAAAATCAAAAGACACTTACCTGAGAGTTGGAGGGAAAGATGAGAGAGGACAGGAGAAGCTGATAATAATGAGACAGTAGAATGCCAGCTTATGCATCGTTGCTGTGTTGAATGTATTTTGTCTTTGTCTACCCCTGTAACTCAGAAATCCTGTCTGACTGTTGCCTCTGCTCCCAGTTTCACCCATTATATAGCCGCTCATGACCTCACAAACATCATCATGTTCTCTCCCCCTAAAGATGAGAGAGGACAGGAGAAGCTGATAATAATGAGACAGTAGAATGCCAGCTTATGCATCGTTGCTGTGTTGAATGTATTTTGTCTTTGTCTACCCCTGTAACTCAGAAATCCTGTCTGACTGTTGCCTCTGCTCCCAGTTTCACCCATTATATAGCCGCTCATGACCTCACAAACATCATCATGTTCTCTCCCCCTTAAAAAAAAAATCCAATGAATTTATTGCCTATCGATTCTAAATGGAAACCACTTTGCATTGATGTAATTTTTCAAGGTAACAGTTCATAGACAATAAATTTACTGTCTTACAGGTTGGTGTACAAAATGGATATTATATCAAACCAAGCACAGTAAAGTTTATAAATCTGGCATTAAAAAAAAAGTAACTTCCAGATATAAATCATGAGTTAACAGAAGGGTCAGTCGTTGGTTGAAATGACCAGACCAGCAAGACAGCTGATTTATGAGCCTTAGCAGGCTTGACGCAAAGCATCTGATATGAAATGCACTTTTTTTTCCTTTTGTGAGATGGATGGATGTGTTGTGTTGTATTTGGGGTTCTTGTGCCAGAAAAAGTAAGAGAGAAGGGGAGTTAAAACATTTAGTTAATTTACAAAGAGAATGTTAGGGGACTTACATTTTTTTCTTTTTTTCTTTTTTTCTTTTTTTCTTTTTCTCCCTTGAGCATTCCCCATCTATTTATTTGAGAAGACCTCATCCAATGTTACCCTAGAGAATTGTCTTGGCAAAGAAAGTACAACTTCCATCTGGAGACTTGCTTGGTACATATAAACTACTTTGGTTGATATAAAACACAGGTCACTTGCTAGACTGGGAGACCCTTTTCCATTTCACTTATCTTCTTTTTCCCTCAGTTGGAATTAACTACTTAATGCTTGTGTGTGCTAGCTAGTTTTTTTCCCCTGTTTGACTTTTGCTTTTATTTAATCCTAACACAGTAGTTTCCATATGTAGTCTCATAACTTTAGTCTTTATTTCCCTCCATCTAGCATATTTTGTCTTTTCTACTTAGAATTTCATTTTTTTGTACCAAAGAGCAAGGACTGGCTGGACAAAGCCTTGAAAATAAAAAGGTAAATTTATGACAATTTTCTTTCCTGCCTCTCTAATGAAATGTTTGTGCCTTCAAATGCTCTTCAAAATACTATGAAATCCAACTAATGTTACTAAAGTTCTTTCCCTGTGCTGAATTGTGTGATAGTTTTAAGTTGCAAAAGGAGTGAACTTACGTGCTTCCTTTTTCTGTTATTAATGTTTCCTGTTGAAGATTATTTTTTATGTTATAAATTCTGTGGCTCGTAGGGCTAGTTTCAAATTAGCTACATTGGTCATATAGAACAGATGTATTTCTGCTGAAGGTCTAATTCAAAGAGACCATGCCCTCGCTCATGCTTGGTTAACAAGGTGTCCAGAAAAGCTGTGGACTCTGTGAGTCCCAAAATGGTTGAGGTAGGAAGGCATCTCTGGAAATCATCTAGTCTAACCTGCCCATCTTAAAGTCAGCCAGAGCAGTTTGTCCAGGAGTGTGTCCATTCAGGTTTGAATAGTTTCAAGGATGGAATAGGACAGAATTTCAAAACTAAGCTTGACAAGGGGCTGAGCCTCACCATAGAAGTTCAAATGCTCTGCTTTGAGTTCTGAGGTGGGGAGTGGGAGAGGTGAGAGAGGACCTTCAGAGGTCCTTCCAACCTAAACTTTTCTGTTGCCCTGTGTGTGCAGAAAGGTGTAGTTATCGACTTATAGGACACACGCTGCAAGTGTCTGAACTACAAATCCTGTAGTGATCCCATAGGATACGACAAAAGAATTTCTCTACAGAATTAACCTAATACATTTTATATGCCTCTTTCCCTGTGCTTCCCTATGAGAGAAATAAGTAGCTAGAGAGGAATTCTCTCTCCTCATCTGAGTCATGCAACTCTTCGTTCCAAAACTGCAGACAGTAATTAGGTCTGATTTGATGCATGATCTCACTGTTGGTGCTGGATGCTCTGTACAAATGCTTCTCCTTCAGTGAACTATCAATGACAATGGCATTATCAATATTCACTCAGAGCATCCTCCAAGGAAAGCTAATGAAGTACTCTTCATGAGCAACTTGTGTCCTTTGTCTTCTCTCAAGGAAGACTCAGCTTCTTAGAGCCATCATGAAGTGCGTCATGTGGACATTGGGCACCTTGCCCACAGCTTATTGC